AAACCCTGAGCAGGAAGGACACACCCCAGCAAGAGAAGTAGTTCCGAACCCCACTGCACCCGGGCCACAGGCTCTGCAGGGCCTCATGGGCTTTGCAAGCCCCAGTCATGAGGCCTCGCCGCCCCACCCGGCACTAAGTAAGTGGCTCTCAGGGAAATCATAACACGATTAGCAGTTTCCGGCCAGTCTCTCACGGGCGTTAGCCTACTGCTCGCTCCTACACAAACACGGCAGGGCTCCCAGGTCCTGACATTGTCCTCCATGGCCGGGTGTCCAGGTCACACGGAAGCAAGGAAATCTCACAATGACTGGGGGTGGGGGGACATCATCGGCTCAGGGGCCTCCCCTGTGCTTCCCCTGCCAGCAGGGGCTGAAGGGCGACAGAGAAACGAGGAAGGGGCAAAGGGTGAGAAAAGGGAAGGCAGAGGCAGAGCCAAGCCCTGACCCACAGGGCCCTCTAAAGAGTGAGCGTCTGTCCTGCACGGAGGTGTGCACCCCACTGCCATCCTCCGGCTCTCAAGCACAGCGGTGCCCTGGGCTGGGGAGCAGGGAGGACCCTGGTTGGGTGCGGCCCCAATGCCCACAGGCACACTGGCTGGGAAGACCGTGAGCAGCCACGTGTGACTCTCAGCTGACCCCACAGAGGGAGAGCCTCCCAGGGGCTGAGAGGCTTTGGCACCTGCAGGGACCCTGAGACTCCCACCCAACACAGTCCCCTGACCCCGCCAGCAGCTGCGCCCTGCCCTCCTTGTATGCGCCGGCAGAGATGGGAAGCGCACAACAGAGCTGGAATGTGGTGTCGGAAACGCTCGGCTCACCCGGGGCAGGAAGGCAGAGCCTCAGCGGAGCATGGGGAGGCAGGAAGAGACGTCCCAGAACCACTGAGCAGCGGGTAAGGCCCTGGGCTCCGTCACCAGAGAGCTCTGCCCACAAGCCCCTGCACCCAAGCCCTTGGCCAAGTGATTCCATGACCGAGGTGCCCGATCACCGTGTGTGCCACTGCCACGGTCACTGCTGCTAACAGGAGTCACCACCGGCCAAGCAGGCTTCACCCAGGCCTCCTCCTCTAAGCACAAGAGCTGGCATTGCTTGAGCGCTTACTGTATACAGGCACCAAGCAAAGGCTCCACATGAAGTGACTCATTTAATCCCAAGTTTTCAGGTGGACATTGTCACACCCACGTCCTGGAGCTCGAGGCCTGATGGGGCCTCTGGCAAGGGGGCTGGTGGGAGCTGCTACCAGGTCTCAGAGCTCACCAGGTACCTGGGGGAACTGAGCCCAGGACTGAGCCATGTTTTCCACTCTTGGCTGCCTGGACGGGCATCGGCATCTAGCCCATCAACAAACACTTGCTCCACATCCGGGCTCAGGCCAGGCCAGGGTCCCCGAGGCCACCCATCTGCCCTGCCAGGGCGCTCCTGTGGGATGCAGAGAAGCCCCCAGCCCCGGCCGGCCCAACCACCTCACACAGTGGCCCTGGGAGAGCAGTCGGTCCAGAGAGAGGCTGGCACGGTGCCCCCAGGCCTGCGGGTCCCGGCGTGCAGCCCACTCCCCTGAGAGGGGCAGCTTGAGGAAGGGCCTGCAGGCTTCCCTGCCTGGACTGGAGGCCTCGTGGTGGGGGAGGTCCAAAAAGCCTTGGCCAGGCCGCCCGCTGACCCTGACTCACTGCTCCCTTTCTGACGTCCCAGGCTCCCGGGCTGCCCCCCAGACATTCCTACAGTCCCCAGCACCACCCCCCAGACCCCCGCTGGCCCTCATCTGCCCATCCTCACTTCTGCAGGCCTCGTCACACCCTGGCCACATGAGAAGCATCTGCTCACGGTCAGCCTCCCAGCCATGGGCTCCACGTGGGTGGGCATCCGCTGCCAGGGTCCTCGAACCCCCAGTACTCAGCAGCAGCTGAGCCAAAACCCAGCAAACAATGGAGTGACCAAATAAACGAATGACTCCGTGGCTAGCACGGGACACGCCAGGCAGCACCCCTCCAACCCTTGGGGCTCAGGCATAGCCCCTGTGAACACTGACTCCCACCCAACCACCGCCCCCCTCACTTGCTGGGTCCCAGCCGTGGGGGTGAACAGAGCGGCCGGAGAAGGAGATCACAGGGCTTCCCGGGGCCATGAAAACAAGCAAATAAAAGTAAAACACACAAACAAGCAAATCCTGCGCTAAAAATGAATTTTTAAAAACAATAAGAAAAGCTCAAGTCCAGGATCTGTGTGGGGACCTCGCCGATGTGACAACCAGGACCCCCACCCTCCCCTGCCCCCCGCCCCCGGCCTCAGCCCAGCTCCTCCACGCAGCCCAGCCTGGGCTGCCCTGGTGAGGGTCTCAGCCAAGACGCCCTCCACCCCACTCCAGCCAGCAGAGCCCGGCCAGGGCAGAGCCACCATGTTCTCCTAGGGCCCCAGGGTCCCATATGCGGATGGCAGCCTAGGGCCTGGCCACGGCACAGGCAGACGGAGCTGGCAGGACAGGCCCAAAGCTCACCTCGGGCCAGGCTGGTGATGGAGATGGGCACACTCACTAGGCCCTGCTGGGACCATCGAGACCCTGAGGTCCCCACAGCAGGTAGAGGCTGAAGCAGCCTCAGGGGACTGGCCCAGCCCCTGCCCTCGAGCCTGACTCTGAGATGATCACTGCCGACGGAGGTGAATACAAGGTGTACACGAGGATAGCCAGAGCCCAGCTCGGGGCTCAGAGGGGACGGCATCGGGGGAACACGGCCACGGACACGTCTACCTGCAGTTGCCTTCCCTGCCCGGGCTCTCCGCCCCTGTCCCACCTAGGACCCCAGGCCCAGGGACACCCCCAGCCCCGCCCCAGCCATCCATGCAACTGGGCCTTTAAGCCCCCCCGGGAGCAAAAAGCCCGCTCTCCCCCCGTAAACCCTGGGGACTCGGGCTGGCAGCCCCTCTTCCCCTCCCCGCCCCCGCCCTGCTCCAAGCTGCCTGTTGTTTCGCCCCATTATTAGAATCCCCTTGGGCAGGCCCCAGAATCCCTGCCTCAGAGTGGAAACTCAGGGGAACCTTGGCTTTGATGTCTGCCCCCTCCCCACTAAAAAGACCCCTTTGTTCCTCCCAGACGACAGGAGCAGAGAAACAGGGCACAGCTCAGGTGCCATCAGTGACGGTGGAGGCTGGGACCCCCTCCGAGGGGCGCCTGGCCAGCAACCCCCTCCCTGCTGCCAGCAGAGGCCCCGTCGCCTCCTTCTTCCTTGTTACTCTCCTCCCTTCCTGGAGAGAATTATCCACTTCCTCTAATGGAAAAACACGGCCATCATCCCTTCTGTTCCCCTTTTCCTGCCGGAGCTCAAGCCAGAACAGGCAACTTCAGCCCAGGTTTGCAATGTGCACGCTTCCTGTGTGAGAGGAGCCCCTGCGGCTCCAGGCAACTACCTGCCACAAAGACCCCTACAGCTGGGTTCTGTTCCTGTCACCGGAGTCCGGGGGAGCCCACTGCCCGTTAACCCTCGATGTGGGGAGTGTTGGCCAGACATGGCGGCTCACACCTGTAATCCCAGCACTTTGGAAGGCCGAGGTGGAAAGATTGCTTGAGCCTAGGAGCTCAAGACCAGCCTGGGCGACATGGTGAGACCCTGTCTCTACAAAAAATACAATAATTATTCAGCGTGGTGGTGCACACCTGCAGTCTCAGCTACTCAGGAGGCTAAGGTGGGAGGATCGCTTGATCTCAGGATTTTGAGGCTACAGTGAGCTGTGATGGTGCCACTGCACTCCAGCCTGGTTGACAGAGTGAGACGCTGCCTCTAAAAAATAAACATAAGGCCGGGCGCGGGGGCTCAAGCCTGTAATCCCAGCACTTTGGGAGGCCGAGACGGGCAGATCATGAGGTCAGGAGATCGAGACCATCCTGGCTGACACGGTGAAACCCCGTCTCTACTAAAAACTACAAAAAACTAGCCGGGCGAGGTGGCGGGCGCCTGTAGTCCCAGCTACTCGGGAGGCTGAGGCAGGAGAATGGCGTGAACCTGGGAGGCAGAGCTTGCAGTGAGCTGAGATCTGGCCACTGCACTCCAGCCTGGGTGACAGAGCGAGACTCCTTCTCAAAAAAATAAAATAAAATAAAATAAAATAAACAAACATAAAAAGTAAAAAATAAAAATGTGGGGAGTGTGTGACTCTCAGCCACACTCCATGGCACAGCCTGTCCCTCACTGGCAGGACGCCACCTCAATGTTTTAGCGGAGGCCGGCTTTATGGGACAGGGTCCCACGACCTCTGTGCCGACCCTTCCCAGCGAGGGACACTGACCCCTTTGCCCAGGCAGCTTCACCTGCGGGACTCCTGTCCCCATGCCGGAAACTCTTCCCAAACACCTCTGTAGCTGTGAGCCCCGGTCCCTTCACAAACCAGAGGCTTGAGAGCCACCCGCTCAGCTCACACCACCCAACTCCAGTCCCGGGCCCACACCTCCGAGCCCCAGCACCCCAGCACCTGCCCGGGTCAGGCTGTATGCAGCACGGGCCTCTCGAATTGTGCTGGTTACATACAGAGAGAGGAAGGAGCGGCTCCCTCGCACCCACGGAGGCTGAGGCCTGCCACCCGGCCCAGATTGGCCTTGGGAGAACATGGTATAGGGAAACGGGGCAGGGAGAGGGACTCAGGGAGCTGGGGGTGAGCATGGTGTGGCAGGTGAACCCCGAACTAGGCTCAGGGGTACATGAACCCACAGACACCAATGCGTAGCCCCAGGACACCCTCAGATACCCTGCCAATGGCAGGCTCCCGTCCTCTGGAAGAGCCAGCAAAGTGGACTGACCCCACCCAGTCCCAGCTCTCTTTCCACAGCTCTGCCAGCCTCAGCTGAGGTCGCTTTTGCAGCTTTTGGCAAGCGGTGTTGCTGAGCGAGTGGCCCCTGCGTCGCTCGTGTTGCCGTGGAAGGGCGATCCCCACCAGGCGGGCGCAGATTCATGACTCTGCTGAGTCATCTGCGGTGGAGGTGCAGGGGAGGGCAGGGAGGCGCAGGCGGCACTCACCCGAGAGGCAGCCCTGCTCGCCAGGCTGCTGCGTCCACCCTCGGCAGCACCTGAGCACGGTCCGGGTCTCTGTGGTATACACCTGCCTGTAGCCCATGTAGTAGACAGTTCTAGAAAGAAAGAGAGAAGGGAAGTGCTTACCATCGCAGGACCGGCTGTACTTGGCTCTCACTCACCCCTGGGGAGACTGACTCTGCGTCAGCCGGGTTCCCAGCTGCACAGGCTGTGGAACCAAGGTTCTCGAGTGGGGTGGCTGACGCCAATGCCCAGCCAGGTTCCTCTGAATCAGGGGGCAGCATGGAGGCAGCAGGGGCCATGCTGGAGCCAGCAACAGTGGCCTTGTGCTGTGTGCAACCCGGGAACACACTACCCCACTGCCTCTGCCCGGCCCCTTCCCTCCCCACAGTGGTCCTGGCTCCAGGCTGGCATTGGGATGCGCATCTCACCGCTCACCAGGCTCTCAGTGCCTAGAGAGCACCTAGCCCTGGAGCCAGAATGGCTTCTGGGATGAGCCAAGTGGGCCCGTGGTGCCCGGGGCCGGGTGGGCTGTGCCAGACAGGGGAGGTGCCAGTTCAGACTCCATACTCTCAGTCCACCAGTGAAGCAGATGGCCCCAGTAGGAGCCCCACACACAGGTGCCATGGCCACCGACCCCTACACCTAGGAGGACAAAGCTGAGCTGGGGAGACAGGGGGGCCCTGGAGGAAGTGGTTATGGGGAGCAGCAGCAGGACTTGTGTGGGCCCAGGTCAGAGAGGAGATGCCATAGCGGGCAGGCAGGGAGGGCTTCCCGGGGGCAGTGTGGCCAGGGCAGCCTTGGTCCACAGGCTGCCTCCTGCTCGGACGAGACGGGCTGGGGCTGTCACTAAGGCTGAGCAGACAATGGCAGGGCTCCCTGGGAGATGCCAGTGTCCTCCTGGGAATGGGCAGCCCGATCCGGCCAGCGTGAGAAGGTGCCCACAGCCAGAGAGATGCCAGCTACCCAGAGGACACGCCGTCCCCCTCCCCAAGTCCAGAGGCTGCCCCAGGCCGCCAACACTGTGCAGCCCACAAAGCCCGGTCACCCCAGGACACCCTGCGCCATCCCCTGCCCAGCCCCTGTCTCCACCCTGCTCCTGCAGGCATCACCAGCCCCCTGCACGGGAAGTCTTGGCAGAGCATTTGGCAAGGGGCCTGCCTGTCCCACTCTGGGACTCGCCCTGAGCAGAGGGAGGGTGGGAGGTGGGGGCACCCCAGGCCACGCAGCCCCAGCAGGCCTCCCAACATCACACCCCTGGCCTGGGGCTAAGTCTCAATTCCTCCTTGCCTGGGACTCTTCCACCTCGAGCTGCCCCCACAGGTCGCCAACCACCCGCTCCATGCCCCCTAAAGTGAACGACCCTTGGAGAGGACCGGTGGGCCTGCAGACCCCACAGCCCCTGTGAGGACCAACCCCTCATTGCCCTGCAGCCACCACCAGCTCACACAGGCTCCACTGCCACCACAGAGATCGTTCATGCAGGGCTGGGGTCATCAGGGGAACAAGGCCTCTGCCACACGGGTGCCTACTCCTCTGCCTTCTGGAAGGTTTGCTGCCTCTCGAAGAAGCTCCTTTCCTGCTTCCTCAGAGCATGGGCCACATCAACCCCAGGACCTGCCCACCAACCCTGCCGTCCTTCCCCGGGGAGCCACCCTGACGCCTGGGTCCTCACCCCTCCGCTGCCCAAGCAGCCTCCACCCTCACTCTAGCAAGGACCAGCAAGACAGACAGCCACCTGTGCCACCTGCCCACCCGGACGCCCTGTCTCCCGCTGCTTGTTCTGCAGTGACTAATGTCCACACAAATTCAGACCCACCCAGATGTGACCTTACTTCTTGGAAATCAGGTCTTTGCTTCACCCGCAATCAAGTTAAGATGAGGTCATTCACAGGGGATGGGAGGCCCTAATTCAGTGACTGGCGTCCTTATAAGAAGAGGGAAATTTGGACGCAGGCACAGGGGATGGCTGTGTGAAGAGGAAGGCAGAGACAGAAGTGGTGGCCACAAGCCAAGGCACTCCCAGACGCCGGCAGCAGAAGCTGGGGGCTGTGACAGACGCCCCCTCAGAGCCCCTGCAGGGGTCCAGGCTGCCCGCACCTTGATCTCAGACTTCCGGCCTCTGGAGCTGGGAGAGAACAAAGCCCTGCTGCTTTGAAGCCATCTGGTTCCAGGGCTCACTGCAGCAGTGGCAGGAGACTCTCGCACAGCTCTCCGCGTGGCACAGGCCCACGGGTCCCAGGGCTCTGAGGCCTTTGTGTTTGCAAGGACAACTGCTCACGTGGATGTGCGCATCGGGAGGATGGAGAGAGAGGCAGAGAGGGACAGAGGCGAGGCAGACAGACACAGGAAGAGAAAGCGAAGGAGTAGAAGATGCAGCCGCCCCGGGCCTGTCCCGCAGTCTGCAGACCCCACAGCCAGCCACCCTCCCCCATCTCTGCCGCTGTCTGCAGGGGCGGTGACCAGGGGCCCAGCCAACAGCCTGGGATCAAGGGCCCTTGAGCCTCTGGGAGCGGCCGGGGCAGCCAGGCTGCCGTCTCTGGGTAACAAAACACCCGCAGCTTGCCGGGGCTGCTGCATGGGAGGCTGGAGGTGGGCCCTGGGAACCGTGACCCAACAAACAAGCGGGGCCAGGGGCCGGCGGGCGGCCGCTTCCCGGAAGCGTGGGCTCATGCACGCGCACTGCAGAGACGCTCTGGGAGCGCCTCGCAAACCCCGTCTTGGCAGGACATGAAACCACTTGCCCGGACAGAAACCGACCACCGCAGTGAACGATATTTGGCAGAGCTGAGAGTGTTTGGGCCTGTGCATGGTAAATATTTATTCCCTCTCCCGGGCTGCAATGGTGCCGGGCTACGTGCTGCTTCCTCGGGCCACTGACCACCCCCTCCATCCCCCCGAAAGGGAATGACCCTTGCTGCCCCTACAGCCCCCGTGAAGACCAGATCTTCCTTCCCCTGCAGCCCCCGTGAAGACCAGCCCTTCATTCCCCTGCAGCCAGCACCAGCTCACATGGGCTCCAACGCTGGGGAGCTGGTGCCCACAGGGCAGGGGTCGTCGTGGTAATGAGGCCGCCCCCAGGTGCCCACTTCTCTGCCTTCTGGCGCTACCAGCTCACAGTGGAGGCCACGGCTCAGGGAGTGTGGGCCTGGCCGGAGGGACCTGAGCGGCAGCTCCACCCTCAGAGCCCCTCCCCCACCCCTTCCCTCTCAGGGACCTTGCTCCTCAGAGGGCGGGAGCCCCTTTATTCACAGGGCCCCCCGGCTGGGTTTATCGGGGAAGTACCACTGAGGGGGCTGAGAGCAAGACCCCGAACACCCAGGCGCTCTCTCAGCTGTACTCACAGCCTCACCTACTCTGGGCCGGGCCGGAGCACCCATCACCCTGCAGCCCTGCCTGAGGCTGGCAGCAGGCTCCACAGCCCACAAGGCAGACGAGGGGCCGATGCCCGCTGCCCTTCTGACTGCAGCTACCACAACACAGCCACTTCGGGGCCAGCCCGGGGAGGGGGCTCATCTGATCCTCACTACTGCTGTGAGCCAGGTGGGGAAACTGAGGCTACAGCAGGTTCCCACCCTACTAGGGCTCATCCAGCCTGCTGGCCTCTCCCCCCAGAACTCAGGATCTCCTTGTCTGTCCAGGGCAGGACGGTGACCCTGCACCAGGCAAGCCAGGATGCCCTCAGGCTGTGGGGTGCGCAGTTGCTGCCTCTCGCCCTCGGCTCTCAGCCACCCTGCACCCTGCTCCAACCACCTGGGAATTACCAGTGGAGAAGAATCGCTACAGAAAGAGAAGGCCAGAAGCCAAGCCCTCGGGGACACGGCCCTGACAACGAGGCCCCAACGACCTGGCACGGGCACACCGCAGGCAAAGCTGGACATCCAGAGCCACACGTGGTGCCCTTCAGGCCTGGGTAGGGTGCCCGCCGCCAAGCCCAGCTGTGGCCTTACAGCCCGAGTCACCAGCCACGTGATGGTGGAGGACTTGGTGGCAGTCTCGGCCAGCTGGCGAGGAGGCAGATGGAGATGTGTAGAGGCTGAGGGGCGAGCGTGGTGCCCTGCCTGCCAGCACTCATGCTTGCTCCTCACTCCAGGGCCTGAGGAAGCCCAGGCCAGTCCCTGACCCCTGCCCTGCTGGGGCTGTTCTGCACATGGGCACCCTATTTCTGAGCCCCAGTCTGTGCCAGGCAGCCCAGAAAGGGTGAGGCTGTGACAGGCACGACCCCAGGTACAGGAGACACTGTCAGCTCAGTTCACGGGTGAGAAAAAGGAGGCTGAGGTCGCCACGCTGGTAGGGGTGGAGCCAGTGATGAAACCACGAGCCTCCCATGACACCAGCTAACCCCTGAGTCACCCCTCAGTGCCACGGTGCTCTGGGGTCCTGCCTCAGCTACCCTGGCCTGGGCTGCAATGCCAGAGGCCTGCCCAGCCCTCGCCCCTCTGCGTCCTCCTAAGGGCAGCCCGGGCCTCCTTCCCTGCATTTCCCAGAATCCAGGGGCCTCGACTGCTCAGTGCCCCGGCTGAATGGTGGCCAAGCCAACGAGCAGCCCTGCCCTTGCTGAGCCCAGTCACACATACCCAGGCGTCCGCTGTGTGGCAAAGCTGTCCCCGTGGGCGCAGGAAGACTGGCCTGTGTCCACCTCCATGATGCCACCCAGAGCCCAGCTGGGATGCTGGGGTCCCCACCAGTTCCACAGCGAGTTGGGAATCTGGTCGTAAGCACTGGGGGCTCGAGGGCAAACGAGCAAGGGCTCAGGGTTAGGGACAGGGACTCCTGATGCCAGAGGAGGAGAAGCAACACTCTGAAAGAGGACAGGCGGGAGCCGGAGGTTGGGAGATAGGGCTGGCTCTTGGGAGGGATGAAGGGAGCAGACCCCAGGCCGGTCTCGACCCAAAGTCTCGCCGCATGGAGTGACGTCTGGACCGGGCATCTGAGGAGACTCCCCCAAGATTGCACAGCTGGATTCAGCCCCCAGAGGCTTGGAGGGGACACAAAGAGGAAACGTGGGATTTGGGAGCACCCTGTGCGCATGAACAGCCCCAGGAGCATCCCAAAGGGACAGGGGCCCGGGCCGTGTGTCACCACTTCACTTGGGGCTGGTTCCAGTAAAGCACACGAGACGCCCATCCCCTCGGCACCAGGGTGGGAAGAGGCCTCTGGTTCCCCCAGGAGTGGGGGCCAGGTGAGAACAGCCCAGAGTCCTCGGGGGTGGACCTCGGCCCCTCCCCAGTGACAAGCCTGGGACCTTGGGGCAGAACGGCCACCTTTCGGGAGGGAGCGTTGGCGAAGAGGCCCAGACACCCTGCATTGGGTGATGCCAGGAGGGGATCCCCTGCCGGTGGCCCCCAGGCAGGGGGACTTTGTCCACGGCTGCCCCCAGTGCCCTGCCAGGAGGCTGAGGAACTTGGTACATCAGCAACACTGCTCCCACCCCGCCTTGAGGCCAGCTGGAGACCACGACAGAGACATCCCACCCCCATGGAAGGGGGACTTCCTCAGCCGGGCCACCAGGACTCTCTCCAGCCCTGCGCTCAGGTGGCTTCTGGCTGCTTCCAGAAACGGAGCTCTTCTACCATGAGCTGTTGATGGGAGACCTGGCTGAGGAGACCAAATTCCCACAGGTAAATCCACCGGCATCCACGCACACGTTACATCCACAGGATGGGCCCACGTCCACACACATATTACATCCACGGGACAGGCCCGCGTCCAACGCACACGGCCACATCACGGGGCCGAAGACTCCGGCGATCACCCTTTGCAGCCACATCCACGGGTCAGGCCCACATCCACGCGTTACATCACGGGACAGGCCCACATCCACGCACTCATTACATCACGGGACAGAAATTCACATCCCGCATGCGCGTACATCACGGGGCCGGGCCCACATCCCGCATGCGCGTTACATCACGGGACAGGCCCACATCCCACGCCACGTTACATCCACGAGACAGGCCCGTCCATGCCGCCATTACATCCGCGGGACAGGCCCAGTGTCCACTGCACACATTACATCCACGGGACAGGCCCATGTCCCACGCCGTTACACCCTGGACGGGCCGTTCATGCACGTGTTACACCCAGGATGGGCCCGCGTTCATGCACGTGTTACACACCCCACAGGGCGGGCCGCGTCCATGCCGTGTTACACCACGGGGCCAGGCCGCGTTCATGCGTGTTACACCCAGGGCCGGGCCCGTGTCACGCGCGCGTTACACCCACGGGGCGGGCCAGCGTTCATCTGCGTGTTACACCCACCCGGGGAGACGGGCCAGCGTCACGCCGCAGCGTTATACCCACGGGGCGGGCCGCGTTCATGCCTGCGTGTTACACCCGCAGGGCCAGGCCCGCATCCATGCACAGATGACAGTCAGGACCAGGAGCTGAGAAAGCTGCTATTTTTAGAGAGGAAAACAATGAGAGGAGCTTTTTCTTCTTCTTTTTTGCTCAGGGCCAATGAACCTCAGCCCTCCTGAGATGTCTTGTTTGGAGTCTCAGGGTCCCTGAACCTCAGCCCTGCTGCACTGGGCTGGGTCATCTGTCTGGGGCTTGTCCTGCATGTTGCAGATGCTGGGCAGCATCCTGGCCCCTCCAGCCTGCCCAGCTCACCTGTCACCAAACCTGACCATCTCACTGTCCGGGGTAGCAAGACAAGCGGTCTGCAGTGTGTGTGTGTGTGTGTTTATTATTGTGTGGCTGTGTGCTGGCACGCATTACATCCACGGGACAGGCCCGTGTCCACGCACGCATTACATCCACGGGACAGGCCCATGTCCACGCACGTTACACCCACAGGACGGGCCCACGTTCATGCACGTGTTACACCCACGGGATGGGCCCGCGTTCATGCACGTGTTACACCCACAGGACGGGCCCGCGTCCATGCACGTGTTACACCCACGGGACGGGCCCGCGTTCATGCACGTGTTACACCCAGGGCCGGGCCCGTGTCACGCGCGCGTTACACCCACGGGGCGGGCCAGCGTTCATCTGCGTGTTACACCCACCCGGGGAGACGGGCCAGCGTCACGCCGCAGCGTTATACCCACGGGGCGGGCCGCGTTCATGCCTGCGTGTTACACCCGCAGGGCCAGGCCCGCATCCATGCACAGATGACAGTCAGGACCAGGAGCTGAGAAAGCTGCTATTTTTAGAGAGGAAAACAATGAGAGGAGCTTTTTCTTCTTCTTTTTTGCTCAGGGCCAATGAACCTCAGCCCTCCTGAGATGTCTTGTTTGGAGTCTCAGGGTCCCTGAACCTCAGCCCTGCTGCACTGGGCTGGGTCATCTGTCTGGGGCTTGTCCTGCATGTTGCAGATGCTGGGCAGCATCCTGGCCCCTCCAGCCTGCCCAGCTCACCTGTCACCAAACCTGACCATCTCACTGTCCGGGGTAGCAAGACAAGCGGTCTGCAGTGTGTGTGTGTGTGTGTTTATTATTGTGTGGCTGTGTGCTGTGGTGTGTGTGGTGACAGAAGAAGAGAGCCACCTGCATTGGTAGCACAACTTATTTATTGAGGTCACATTTCACAGCAAACGCAAAAGCTTAGCCAATTCTTTGAATATGATGCCTGTTGCCTAGACGGGCCCGCGTTCATGCACGTGTTACACCCACGGGACGGGCCCGCATCCATGCACAGATGACAGTCAGGATAGACTGAAAGCTGCTATTTTGGGGAAAACAATGAGAGGAGCTTTCTTCTTCTTTTTGCTCAGGGCCAATGAACCTCAGCCCTCCTGAGATGTCTTGTTTGGAGTCTCAGGGTCCCTGAACCTCAGCCCTGCTGCACTGGGCTGGGTCATCTGTCTGGGGGCTTGTCCTGCATGTTGCAGATGCTGAGCAGCATCCCTGGCCCCTCAGCCTGCCCAGCTCACCTGTCACCAAACCTGACCACATCTCCACTGTCCCGGGGTAGCAAGACAGAACCGTCCCTGAGTGAAAACCACCATTATTGCCTAACAGTTCTTTTCTCCTCTACTCTGAACACATCTGAATTGCACAGCAAACACACATTGACGGGAAAGCTGCTGGGGCCCCTCGAGCGGGCACAGCAGATGCAGGTGTCCTGCGTGGACCTCACACCCACGAGAGCAGCACAGAGCAGGGCCTCAGCTCCTCCACAGATCCCAGGCTGAGAAGCCAAGCCACACTCTTATCTGAGAACGCGTTCCTGCCTTCCCTCCCCCAGACACACGGAAGCCCTCCACCTGACATGGGGTGGCTGCCAGTTCCCCACACAACCCACTTTGCAGTGGGGCTGGCTCTGCAGAGCCTGAGTCTACAAAAGGGGAGAGGTGTGCACAGGCACTCAAGTTCGGTGTTGAAATAAAATCTTGAGCAATAAAAAGTTTCACGTGTGTTTGGGAACAAGGCCCTAGGGCCAAGCAGCAGCCGCCTCCCGCCGGGCCCCTGGCAGGCTGAGACCACCCTCCCCCTCCTGCGTGGCCAGCATCCTCCTGGGCCAGGTGCTTGGCTAAACAGGTGAGGGCTACAGCATCTGAGTAGCCCCATGGCAGCCTCACCCGGAGGGTGGGAGAGGCCTCAGGTTCAGATGAGAGCTTCAGGCAGGGGTCCGCGTGGCCCCGGGACCAGGACGGAGTCCCAGCCTCAGCTGCCCAGCTCCCAGGTGGTCAGTGCTGCCCGTGTGAGCAGAGCCCCTCCCCCAACATGGCCCCTGGGGCCCCTGCACCTACCTCCGCTCATGGCCCACGCACCACGCCTGCCACCCGCAGCCAGCCTTCCACACTGGCACCGTGTGGCTGAAGGCCTGCACGCACGGCTGGCGGCGGCCCACCAGCGTCAGCTCCTGCTCAGCACACACGTGGGGCCTGGAACAGAGACACAGAGAGTCAGCGCCTCGGCCACCCCTAGCCGGCAGCACCCACTCCTCCTGCACCCCCAGCTTTGGGTGCCAGCTCATCTGGAGTGAGGTCCAGACCCATGGCCAGGCCTCCACAGCACAGTGCCCATGCCAGTGCCCCAGGCCGACCGTGGGACCCAGGCTTGAGGGCACAGGAGCTCAGGGGAAAAGGCAAGATGACCAACACATCCCCACACACGGGCTACAGCGTGGCTCCTGGTCCTCCAAGACCCCAGGACACAACCACCACCGACGCTGCCTCAACAGACAGGAACTGTAGCCTCAAGGCACAGTCACGCCTGGTCCAGAATCCAGGACCAAGCCCGGGCCCATCTGTCCTCTCCACCGCAGCCCTCCCCGCCTTGCTTCAGAGATGTCCCAAGGCCTGATGCTGCTGGGGCACGCGGCTGAGCGGGAATTCGCCCACGGCAAGGTGGGGTGAACACGGGCCCATTCGCTGTGAAGTCAGCGGCTCCCCAGCATCATATTACCCACACTGGTGAGTGTTTACTCTCAGAGGAGGAGGTGAAAACCCCAGGCCCATCCCCGCCAAGCTCCTTCAGGTCCCCTCCAAGGCCTCTCCAGCCCAGAGCCTGCATAAACCAGGGGAGGGGAACACGCCAGGGACAGGTGCCCTAAGCCAGCCATCCGGACCCCACCGGGCTCGGAGCAGGTGGAGAAAGAACTCAGAACCTTCAGGGGGAAGGGTCAGAGGGAGGGGCCCTCCAAAGACGGCCACACGGGCCAGCACCCCCCGAGCAGGGGTTCACCCTTGGCCTACCCTGACCGAGGGGTGAGGCGGGCTCCCTCCACAGAGGCAAATTTGAGGGGAGAGGACAAGGCTCCAACGCTCATGTCCCACTGAGTCAGGTTATGTCTGGGGGGCCTCAGTGGAAAGAAGAGGTTTGTCCTGCTCTCCCAGCTCTGGACTTGCTACCTAGAACCAGGGCCAGGCACACCTGGTGTGAGCCGGTGTCTCCCCTCCAGCCTCAGGTGCAGCAAGCCTGGCAGATCCCGCCAGAACCCTCCCACCTCCTGGGGGCAAGCAGGTGGCAGGGGTTCCCCAGCCCCTCATCAGAGGTCCCCACTCCACCAGGAATATTGTCCAGGCTCGGTACCGCCCTCTGCCCAGGCCTTGCCAGGAGCCCCTAACCCGCTGCCGCCTGGTGGGCCGGACCCTGGCTCAGCACTCAGAGACTGCCCGCCCCGTCCAGCCACCCTGGCCCCAGGCCAGCCACCCCCAGATGGAGGCTCTGGCGATGGAGGACTATATTTTTCCTCTTTCCTGGGGCTCGTGCTGTGTGGGAAGCCCTGTGTCCCCTCTGACTTCAGTCCACCCCCTTGTGCTGAACAAATCCAGAAAGCACAGACCCAGCACAGTGGCACCAAGCTGAGAGCAGCAAATGGCAGGGCCTCACCAGCTGGGACAGCAGGGGCTCCACCAGGCAGCTGTGGCACAGAGGAGGGACCCCGGCCTCCAGCTGCCCACCCACGAAGGGGCAGACGAAGGCTGGGACCAGAGTCCAGCTCCAGATCTCCAGTCCAGTCTGAGAGGGGCTGGGGCTGCCACTGGACACGTCCTGCCTGTGACCTCCTGCTGAGAGGTTTTGCCCACACTCTCCTGAAGTTTCCCAAACTGCCCATCCCAGGGCTGAGGCTTGCCCACCCAAGGCAGCATTGATCCCTGGAGTCCGAGCTCAGGTGACTGCAGGGCAGGGGCACAAGGCAGAGTGAGAGGCAGGGCAGAGCTCCTCCTGGCCATGAGCAGAGTCCAGGATCCCCACCAACTCCCAGACAGACCTGCAGCTGCAGCCAAGAAGCCTCCACAGCCATGGGGACCCTCCAGTCAGGTGGAATCAGCTGCAGGAACTCAGGGCAGATGGAAAGGCTCTGCCATTGCCTCTTCCTGCACCAGGAAGACAACTCCCTCCTGGGCAGGGAGTGAGACTTCCAAAAACCCTATTTCTACCTGCGAGCCGGAGAAGAGGTGACCCGCTCAGGAGTGCCTCCTCCGTGCCCAGCACCAGGTCCTTTCCCGATGTTACATCATTGAATCTCTCCCCTCCCAGGGAGGAGGTGACAGTGACCCCCTGATCTGCTCAAGGTCACCAGCTAATGAGAGGTACAGACAGGACTAAGGGCCAGGCCACTCCCACCTTCCGCCAGCACTGTTTGGCCTCTGTGTCCCAAGAGCCACAGATCCCAGCGTGAGAATAGGTGAGGGGGCAGGGCCAGAGGTTGGATCAGGGACAGAGGGTCAAGTCTCCAGGGAGGTCCCTCCTCAGCCTCCCTGGGGCTGGGTCCTGACCTCATTCATGACCCCCAGACTACAGCACCCATGGGGGATGGTCTCACAGCCCCCAGGGCCACTGCCCCACCCCATCCTGCTGTGACCCAAGGCTGACCTCTGTGGATCACATCCTCCCAGCACCTGCACATACACACACTGTCTCTCTCACACTCACTCTCAATCACACACAAACTCACACTCACACACATTCACAACCACTGATACCCACAGAATCACACACTCGCAATCACATACACCCTTACTCATACTCAATCTCACACCCACACACAGTCACACATACTTTACACAGACTCGAACACACTCACGCTAACACACAATGCACTCACACATACTCTCACACACTCACACACACAATCATACACAGTCACACACATTCACAAGAACACTCAATCACACACATTCACACTCACATGCATGCTCACACACTCAACATGCTCATACACTCATACATGTTCACACACACTCAATCACACTATCACACCCACATACAATCACGTACACACAAACTCACAATCACACATTCACACTCAAAATCACACACCCTCATACACACACTCACCCACACACACATACACACAATTACATATATACACATTCACACACAATCACACACATACACATTCACACTCAAACACAATCACACATACTCATACACACTCTCACACTCACATACACACACATTCGCAATCACACACACACTTATACAATGACACACACACACAATCTCATACACACACTCATGAACACACACACTTCTGTACTGTCACGCATGGAAGCTCACACACTCACACACACATATGCACTCTCAAACTCCCATTCACACACACACTCACAGATACACACACAGGCACACACTTACACACTTTGCCCTCTGGCTGCAGGGTGCATTTAGTCAATGAGAGGACCAGCAAGAGATGTGAGAGGGGCACTGGGGTTTGGCCCTCCTGTCAGGGGCAGGGACCGCACCCCCTCTCTCCAGGTTCCAGGACCCAGCCCCCACCCAAGGGATGGCCTTGGCTCCACGGTGGCACCCCCGTGCTTCCTCACCCATGCACCTTCCACACAGCATGCACCCCTTTGTGAACACCCCTCCCCAACCCCTCCTGGGACAGTGCCACCCCGTCCTCCTCCTACTAACAGATACACTGTCCCTCTGAAACTCAAAAAGCCACGCTTTCATTTAACAGTGTCAAATTTGGGATCAGAGATGGGTGTTTTAAAGCACTAGTGCATCTTGGAGGGCAGAACTCGTGATGAATGCACCCACCCCACCAACCGTCAGGCTCTAGGGATGCAAAGCATCATGCAGTGGTTCTCAAAGTGGGATCCCCCGGCCGGGACCAGCAGCCCCTCCTGGGAACCTGCAGAAATGCACACTCCTGGGTGCCACCCTGGTCCACCGAATCCAGGATGCTGGGGGTGGGGCCCAGCAATCCTTGGGGAGGGAAGGATTGCGTGTGTTTGCCCAAGCCCACCAGGGGATGCCGGAGCACACTCAAGCTTGTAACCCCAGGCCTAGCGGTTTGAAGCAAGGTCTCACTGCCAGGCAGCCTGGGTTTGACTCTCAGCTCCCCACAGCCCGTCTTTAAGACATGCAGGTTACTGAACCTCTGCCTCAGTTTCCTCACCTGTAAAATGAGGATTCGCAGCACTGACCTTGCCAGGTTATCATGAGGGTTAGATGAGCCCGCACAGAAAAGGGCTCCTGACAGCCCTCAGGAGGTGTGAGCTAGTGTTATTGCAGATGCTGGGACTGTTTATTCCAGAAAAAGTGTCACTCATACCTCAAAAGTGGGCCCATAGGAACTGCTACAGGCATTGAATGCTTTTGCTGCCCCTGTGCCTTGCAACGCACTTACCCACGGCGAGCCCTGGGCACAAGTGGCCCTGAATTCCTTGCCATAAAAAAACAGAAGTGGGGGGCAGGGTGGGGGTAGGCCGATGATCCCCGAGCTTCTGGGCTACAGGGTCCAGCCCCTGACTCTGCTATGGCCCCTGTGCTGAGGGTAGCCACTGTGAAGGGACTCTGTCACCATCTCAGGATGGAGATGACACAGAGAGGGCAGAGCTGCGAGCCTAGGTTTTCAGCAGACACCCCAGGCCTGGGGCTTGCTGTGCAGCCTGAGGAATCACTGACCATCTCTGAGCCCTCAATTCAGCATCTGGAAAACAGATGTGATGACAGCTCGGGCCCCTGGGGCTTGGAGACATCGGGGACACAGCCGGGGCTGGGGGTCCTGAGGGGTTGGGTGCTCCCTTCTGAAGGGCCTTCTTGTCCCTCCTGGCCCTCCTCAAACCTCAGCAATCTCAGCTGCCACTACTCAGCAAGATGACAATGCTGAAGGACTCACCAAGACCCCTCGCCAACCCACCCTCAACCACCCAGCAGCCCCTCCCGCACATCACACCCGCCACTCCCCAGCCCCTGCCCACCTGCTGCGCCCTCTGTCTCCCCAGTAACTTCTCCCCCTCACGGCTCTCCCCAAGGCCAGAGGGCCCTTGCCCTGCCCAGCCAGGCTGTGGTCCCTGAAAACGGTTCCTGGGTGGCTCTTGCAGTGACCCCCAACAAGATTGATTGATCATCCATCAAGCCAGCCTTCAAGGATGGAGGGGTGAGTGTGGGAACGACTGTCTCCTCTGGGGACTTCAGCACCACA